GCATTTGTGCCTGCTCAAAATATTAGCACACAGATCAGTTAGTAATGGGGATCAATGACACTCCCCAGACCGTCTGGTCTTGTATAGTACAGTCTGGTGTAGTACAGTCTACAGTCTGGCAGCAGTTTGAGGCAAACTGGTCTGTTATAAAAGCTTGTATAATGTTTGACTACGTCTTTCACACATTTGATTTCAAAACTCACACAGTTTGGTGACTGCATTATTGCCTAATGAGAATGACCATGTCCACACCGCCTTCTGTAGCCAGATAATCAAAGCCTGATCAATCAAAAAAGATGACCTGTGACTTTACCTATTAAAACCAAGGCCATCATAACACTGTGGACGATTTGTGACGTCTGTTTGAATGCAGAATTGCCCAAGCAAAACCACAGTAACAGCCTGCAAATGTCAGCTAATTAAATTTGCCGTACAAGTGAATCATTAGTTTTGACAGACATGCCAGAAGCTAAGTCACACCAAGAACAAGTGGACGGACCGACTCGCTAAACTGGACAATTCATGACAATGGCATAGAATCCATACCTTTTTTTTTTAATTTGTGAATCTATTTTTATAAAATGCTATCTTATTCATTGATGAACAATTCTTTAGTAGGGGATCCTGCATTGATATCACTTTAAAAAGAAAAAAAAAGAGATTAGGAAAAAAAAGATTGACCATGGTAGTGGACAGTATGCTAACTAGATGCACTACTGAAATCAATCTATTAAGAGGTCAGAACTAGTTACCAGTGCTTTTTAAGGTAATTTTTGTGAACTGGGCATAGCTGTTCAACCACAGAATGGCTGTGGAATTTATTCAAAATACAAGAAAAAAATCTATTTGAATGAAATAATTATACTGTATCTATACAGCTACAGGCAATGCACAGGTGTGCGCCACATAACCTCTGTTGCCATGTGAACAACGGTTTTAACACCTGCTACCGTGTATCATGTTACAGAGATTTCTGAGACAAACATCAATACACAATGGGGAAAAATGTCCAAATCTCATCAGGATCTAATTTGAAAACTGACACTCATTAGGAATAAAAAGAAAACGAGTACAGTATGCTGGCATTTAAGGCATGATTATTGCTGATCATTTTAATAAAGACATTCAAAAAGATTACTCAAAAAGACTGTGACTCTCGCTTTCGCTGTGTCCTAAACAATATACAAAGCAGGACTTCTACAAATCTAATCCAAAGTATTCCTCAAACCTATTTTTCTCAACACATAAAGGAAGTGTTCACTAAAAAAAACATAATTGATCAGCCATGAACATTTGGTGTCCAGAGTTTGCTTCCTTAGTTTTATGCTGTGGTTACAAGACTAATATAAGAGAAATATATGTCACTAAAAAGGTGAAAAGCTTCCATTCATGTTAGCTTTGTAGCTCCAATGCAAAACTAAAGAAGCAAGCTTTGCACACTAAACAAATCTTGACTGATCAGCAATGTTTGAGCCCATGGTAAAACTGTGTAAATCTGATTTTTCGGTAAACGATTCATTTAAATTTGCATCTGGTTTGCAAAACAAAAGGAAGCTGCTCTGAGCTGTCAAATCAATCATTTGTGAGGCCCATTTAAAGTTCATGTTGCTACCTTTTAATACTTTCTACATCTCGTTTCTACGTTTCTGACCAGTTCTTACACAGATTTGAGATATATAAAGACACCCTGGTCATTTTCCCCAGTGATGTGCTGGCCTGCTTTCCATTTGTCCTTTTAGTTTTCACTCCTCTGCCAAAAACGCCCTACAACAGCTCTCACTCTCCCACAGAACTGTACCTTATTCAATTCCTCTATTCTCCGGATCAGATATGGGTTGCTTGAAGAATTCTCAAAAAAGACATAATCTGCAACAAAAAAAAGATGGCATTTCATTTTGCACGGCTTGCTTGTCAATCCAAAAAGCAAAATCATAACATTAGGTAGTACCTGTAAACAGAAAAAAAAATTGTACAGAAAATAGTTATTTACAGCTGATACAACACTGCTCCTCACAGCACAGTACAGTAAACATGACACACTTACAGCTTCGGAACTCACATGACAGACTTCAGCAAAAGAGCACAATACATTTTTCCTACAATCGTAACTGAAGCTGCACGTGAATCATGAAAACTCCAGAGTGCACAGTGCACAATCAGGACTTTGTGGACAAGCAGGTAATAAATCAGACGTACAAACTGGGTTTGGGGATATGAACGACCAGACAAAAACTGTCTATTTCGTCCTTCTCGACGATGAATTCTTCTTAATAGCTGCTCTCATTTTGACACCTATAAACCCGATGGCGCGAATGAGAGCAGAGTTATTTATGGTACAACCACCAGCCTGACTCTATGTTTGACTGTAAGCGACCTTTATGCTAACAGGCCCTTCAATCACATTCTGATGCACTGAGTCTGGTAGAAAGCACTGCAATTTAATACACAAATTAGCTAGCTCACTGTAAGAGTTTAGAGCCCAAACATGAGTACAAACGGAACAGAGTTTGTCCCATTTCAGCTTCGTTTTCTCCTGCTACAGCTTAACCGACGCCATTGAAACAATGTCGGCCAGCCTGACACAACCAGCTAATCTACTACCTTGTAGCCGGCTAATTGCACTAAACGGTGATGCCAAAATATTAAGCCAAAATTAAACAGCTAAAATGAGTACGTGGGGCAAAAATGCGGACTGTTGTGCAAACATGGTAACGTAAGCAACAATAAATGTCCAAGTAAATTCAGTAACGTCAAATAAAATCAATAATGTTTGTTCGGTGGTTAATGTTAACGATACGGCGAGGTGAGCACGGTGGCTGTAAAATGCTAACTTAACTTAGCTTGAGGATCCATAACTAATGGACGTGTGCCAAACCGAAGAGAAATGGCCACAAAGATATACTTCGTCGTTGAACAAAAAAAAAATCACACCACTCATTACTCAAACAGAATGCGCTTCGGTAGAAGAAGGGTGGATTTATGAGGAAAGTTGTTTTTTTATGCACTATCGCCATCCGTTTGATAGCCAGATTAGCTGATTGAGGTGTTTCTGATAAGGCTAGCGAGCGTTGCTATGCTAGCTCTCCCGCTAGCATGCTACTGCGGCTAACAGAGTTTAGAGGCCTGACCCACATCAATCCCCAAAATATTTTCCCCCAGATCCACATTACCGACCGCTTTCAAAATATTCTTGTGCCTGTCCGCCTCTGTGAAGTACTCGGTTATTCGAGTTCAGCTTAAGTAACGTTAAAAGTTCGCCACAAAAAGTGAGAGCTGACCGTGTTTTGGCTAACAGAAATACCAGACTGACATACCTCCGACCCGGTACATGTTGGCCGCCATTTCTGCCCTCCCGGAGTGTTAAAAACCAAACCATAAACTATAAAAATAATAATAAATAACTGACTAAAACGTTTGTTTTTTAATACTAGTAAAAGCAATATAGGCTGCAGTAGAAGTGGGGGTGACCCTCGAGAGGAGCGGGAGACCACTTTCTGTTTTTCCCCCTTTTTTTCTGTGTTTTTGTTGAGGAGCCCCCCTCCTAAGATTCACAGTACAATACGGTAACTCAGAGGAGAGGGAGGGAGGGAGAGGAGCTTCCTCATGAGGGAGGGAAGAGGAGAGTGGAGGGAGGGATGGAAAAAACAAGCGAGTGAGAGACTCAGAGAAACAAGTCGATAGGTTTGGAACAAACCACGCTGTGTCTAGGAGCGATTCAGCGACAATTCATGAAGCAGGAATTACATTTAAAAAAACATATGTAGTCGAGACGTGCGGATCTGTTCCGCAAACGATTAACACTTATTTTAAGGGAACCTGCACAAAATGCACACCTGGCACTCTGTGTTTTGGTTTTGAATGAGGATTTTAAAAATGGAGGAAAATACATTTAAATGCATTTAAAAACCCTAATTTGGCAGGCTGTGGCGCACAGAAGACACTGGTCTCGCTCTAATAATGATTATTGTCTACACTCTGTCGGTAAAGAGGACAGAAGAAAAATAAAGGCTGCGTTAGCAAACTTGTTCAACGAAATTTAACCCAAAACTCATTAAGTCAGAGAAGAAGAGATGGGCAATATCACTAATGTTTACTTAAGTAATACCATTACTAAAATTCCAAACCATCCAGTTACTTTTAAAGGTCTTATTATGCACTTAAAAAGGGGAATTATTCTACATCTACAGTGAAGCTCGGTAAACGCAGATGTATTATGATATATTTGATGATATATTTGAAAGTCTTTATATTAACTAAACTTTCCAGTCAAAGCCTGTTTCAGCCCATTCAACTTGCTATAAAAGCGTGCTCCTCAAGACATAACAGGTGTTAAAATGATCAAAACAACCTAATGTTAGGCTAATAACACGAATGCTTGAGTGTATGTTCCTTTCCTGCAAACTCATTTCCGACTTTTTTATGTTTACTTCATTGCTAGTGTCTGTTTTCACTTTTTACAAGTACGTTAAAATTACTGGTTAAAGAAAAAAAAAACTTCGACTTCTATATTGTTACGTAAGGATCGATCGTTAAAATGAAACAGAACCAGAGGTATCAATACAGTATCGATCAGCCCTCCCCTGCGGAAAAGCACCAGCGTGGCCGGCCACGCGTGCGTAACAGTGCGCAACGGGACTGGAGTCTCGCCGGCGTGACATCACCGCGCGAACTGCCCCTTCAGGGGGGCTGGAGTTCAGACGGGGAGGCAACTCGCAGCAGCTAGTTGTGCTGCTCCTCCTGGCAGCAAACTCGCAGCAGCGGCTTCAGCTCCTCGTTCTGGGATAGGCACGGACAAACACAGCCACAGCAGCGCGTGCAGGCGCCTCCCGCGCAACGCAGCGCGCAAACTGCGCTCTCCAGATTGCGCAAAAAATGAGCTATGCTTGGCCAAAACAGTTTGCGCTTTTTCACCTAAAAACAGGTGAATAGCTATTGCACCCCGCTCCTCCTCCCCTCCTCCCCCTTTCCTCCCCCTTCTCCTCCTCCTCGTGGAGCAGAAGATGAAGTTTGGCAAGAACATCTGTATCCTGAACGTCGGCGGCACTAAGTATGCCTTCACCCGGGAGGTGATCCGGGACTTTCCGCTGCGTCGGGTGAGCCGGCTGCACAGCTGCTCGTCCGAGAAGGAGGTGCTGGAGGTGTGCGACGACTACGACCGCGAGAGAAACGAGTTTTTCTTCGACAGACACTCGGAGGCGTTCGTCTTCATCATGCTGTACGTGCGCTCCGGGAAGCTGCGCTTCGTGCCGCGGATGTGCGAGCTGTCCTTCTACAACGAGATGCTCTACTGGGGTCTCGAGAGCTCGCACCTGGAGTTCTGCTGCCAGCGGCGCCTGGACGACAGGATGTCCGACACATACACGTGCTTCTCCGAGGAGGAGCTGATGGGCGCGGACGAAGAAGAGGCCCGGCGCGCGGAGGCGGCGGAGGACGAGGCGGAGGAGACGCGCTCCTGGCTGGCCAGGATGAGGAGGACCTTCGAGGAGCCCGCGTCCTCCGTGGCCGCGCAGGTGCTCGCCTCCGTCTCCGTCATCTTCGTCATCATTTCCATGGTCATCCTGTGCGCGAGCACGCTGCCCGACTGGGACACGGCGAAAAATAACACGGTGGAGGAGCACAGGTGAGGAGCAGAGAGCATAGGAGTATACGACATGAGTGCGAGCGTGTGTTGGCTGGGTGCTTGGAAGTTTTTGCTTTGGGTAGTTTGCAGCATGGCGCCTGCCATCCACACTTTTATTTCCAAAATACATAATGATGCCGAGACTCTTGCTGAATAACAGGCAACGAGTCAAGTTCCAGAAAGTGTTCATTGCTTTATTGAACAAATAATACAAGCATGAAGTAGAGCTGTGTGATGATCTGGGCCCCTCTGCCTTAGTTAGTTAACAGCGTGGCACCTGCTGACCATTCATATTCATTGACAAAACGTTCAGTTTAGCCACCGCTGAGCATGAATGTGAGGTAGCCTAATGATAATGCTGCAGCAGATTCAACGTCTCAAAGTCTTCATTCTGTATTTAATAATCCTGATTTAAGTGACGTGACCACTTCACTTAAACGGTGCCCTCTCAGCCATATGGTCCAATCAGTGAGAGCGCTTTAGGCTCCTTTTACTGGAAGACACGCGTTTGGTTTCTGTGTTCATCCTGAGAGAGGAGCAGTCAATGCAGCCCATAATCTGGACATGAAGTGTTATGGCGAATCGTAAGATGCAACAGCCGCCTTGGAAGAGAACCTCTCTCTCTCTCTTTCTCTCTCTCTCTCTCTCTCTCTCTCTCTCTCTCATGTCTCGTTTTTGTGTCCATGTTTGTGCCCCAGATTATGATATGTTCTGGTTTATTTTACAGACTCCCACACTTTCATCTTTCCCCTCCCCTCCTCTGCTTCCCCGAGGTGACGAACTGTATAAAACACATACAACGTGAAGTCCATTTTCTGAGCTTCAGATGAACTAAATGCATTACAGAGAATAAAAGTTCACTTTACTCCCAATTCAGTCTGTGTGTCTGCAGGAGAGCTGAAAGCTGCTGGAAGCCCAGTAGCTAACCGCGGGGGATTTTGTTTATTAATCAACTTGCACAATGTTTTCGACTCTAATGTGTAGTTCATACGTCACAATCTTAGGAAGAATAACGGGCCAGTTTTAAATTCAGCCTGCAGTCATTTACGACACTGGGAAACGATCTGGACGATTCGATTTGCCATTACTCATTTTTTTCAGAGCCTGTTTGAGGAAGGGCTTCATTGTGCTGCTGCACAGGAACAACAAACTGTAAAGTCTACATCATCTGTAAGAGCTGATAGACAGTATTAGCCTGAGTCCAGGCAGTAAAAGGTTTGTTTCTGATCGTAATGAAGTCTCTGTCCGATAGGGGTCACTGCAAATCGTTTTTGAGAAACCGTGATATGATAATAGATAAACTAACAGAATCAGAAAAAAAAGATTACTGGTGCTTGAAACACTACATTAGAAAGCGTATTATGTATGTATATTTGTATACCAATTATATATATATATATATATATATATATATATATATATATATATATATATATAATTGGTATACAAATATATATATATATATATATATATATATATATATATATATATATATATGCAAAAGCATCCCTTGTCAAAATACGCATTTTGCTGATTTTCCAAGTAAAGAGAAGTTGACATGTTATGACATGTTTCTACAAATCTATATTCAAGATTACCATTTATTTATCTGAATTTAATATTTAAAAATAACTAAAAATAAAATGTGACGTGTGCAAAATTTAGACACCCTTTCATTTGATTGTATGTGTGTGTGTGTGCGTGCAAGTCGGAGAATACTCTTACAAAAATAATAGATGAAGTATAAATAAATATAACATTTTTCATTATTTATTGCATCCGCCATCCATTCAAGATTCTTCTTTTCAGTTTTTAAAAGAAATCTGCAGGGATGCTGTACCACTCATCCAAAGTTCAGTCTTACACACTAGAGAAGATGGTTCTTTAAGGGTTCTTTAATAAAGAAAATGGTTCTACATAGCACCAAAAAGGGTTCTTCTATTGTTACAAGCTTGACATCGTAACAATAGAAGAATGCTTTTTGGTGCTAGATAGAAATCTTTTCAAAAAGATCTACAGCACATTGTCCAACAATCTGAAGAACCTTTTAACGATGCAAAGAACCCTTTAGTCATGCAACGGGTTCTTTGAGTGTTCATGGTTCTATAGAGAACAATTTTCTTTACTAAAGAACACTTAAAGAACCATCTTTTTAAAGAATGTAGACATTGGTGGCATTATTCGCTTATTTGCAGTCCAGGTAATCCCAAACACATTCAGTGATGTTGAGATTTGCAAAGCTTCTTTTTTGTCTATTTCCTTTTGTGAATAATGGCTTTTTGCACATCCTTTCATCCTTCTATAGTGCTGAGTTGTATTCTTACAAGGGAGGATGGATGAAAACAGATTTTTTTATCTGCATCTGATTTTTTTTTGCCTTTGACATTCATTTTCTTTCTCATCCCTTATGCACATAGATATGCACATATCCCTTCAGAAATATCTCCTGATTAACTTGTTCTTAAAGGTCGTTTTGACTAGGAAGTAAGTAAATGAAGGTTGGGCTCTGACTTTTGCACAGTACTGTATATATTTTTACACACACATATATTTATAAAGGGTAGTGAAAGCATCGTCTCCATCAAGGAAAGCAAACACGTGCTTTTTGTTTGTTTGAGAAATGCATTTGAGTTACAGCAGCATTAGTGCTAATCCGCGGAGCTGGTGCCATTGTTATGGTTTCTTCTTCTATTTTTGTGCCCATTACTTGCCCATTTATCAGCCATCATCAAATGAACCATCACTGTAGCTCATCACAACATGCTAATTGATCCGGCTAAAAAAGGGCAGAGGAAGGCGTTGATGTCAGGCTGAATCCATGAAGCAAAGTAACAGTATTTTTTATGTTTTTAAATGATAAACAAGATCTGCGTTTCCAGACCATTTTACTAGTTTATCTGACGTATAGTCCAAGATGAAATCAAATGTTACCCTTTTCATTGGCTGATGTTTCTCCTTCATTATTTCCAGCCCTACAGTTGCTGGCAAATGTCTCTTTCTACCGGTGTCTGTGGAAATGTTTATGTGTCCTCATGCTTATATCTTGTGCATTCTGATTCCATTTCCTTCACAGAGGTCAGGTATGTGTCAATGTATGTTTATGAGGAGCTAGAAAGGGAATAAATTAGAGACATCGAGGTTTGTCATGCATGGGATTCAGAATACTGCCAAAATGCCAGAGACAGAGTAATGAGTTCTAAACACATAATCTGTATGCTCAGCCGGAATAATTCATGATGACATAGATATACCAAACACTATAAACATTGGCCCTTATAATCTCTTAGTTGTGACGTGTGATAAGGAGGATAGATTTTGTTGATGTTCTGTCTTCAGTCAGATCTTATAAAATGTGTTGTTTGTTTTTCTGTTGCTCTGGCATTTGTGAGCAGACTTAAACACACTCTTTGTGAAAACACCATTACCACACGTCCCCCCTTTTCCACAGTAAGGCTCGGCGTTGCTCTCCCTTCAGTGCACCATTCCACCCTGCTGCTGGTCTCTGTCCTTTGTCCTGTGTTTTGTTCCGCAGTTTATGTCAACAGTCCAACGATCAGTAAATTTGTTTAGTTTGAAAGTCTGAAATGTCAGAAACTCCACATGCTGCTAATTGAGTTCTAATAAGCTAATAATTCAGCAAAAATATCCCTTGAGCAGCATCAACCTTTCCTGCTGTTAAGCTGCCCAAGACCCACAGACTGTCAAACAACTATTTACATTATCTGCATGAAACCATTTATACTTCTTAAAGTTTAATAGAAGGTAATCAGATTGCATGGACGCATTCTAAACACTATAAACGTGTATAATAAGTCAAAAAGTCAGAAATCACTCAAATATTTGTAGGACAATTTCCCAGACATAGACTGCAGTGCCAATGGGGAATCATCACTGCAAATACTTCTTACTGTAAGCTAAAGCTTAAAGGGGAATTCCACCCATTTTTCAGAATTGCATAACGAAGCGAGTAAGATGTAAACAAAGTCATTCAGAGTGGTTTGATGTGAGTTGCATGGTTCTATAGAAGCTTAGTCAGCATTATTTTACGGTGGTGGTGATAGGCACCAGATAGGAACCAGACATAAGAATGAAATGGATACAAATATGCAGCCTGTTGTGTGCATGATACATGATTTCACAAAAGTTTAAATTAAGGCTTCAGCCTAAAATCTTTTTTTTTTATCTCTTTATTGCAGAGAGGTACATACAAAATGTAGCAAGGGCCTTTAGGCCTTTAGTACCCAAAGAAAACTTATGTTTATTATAGTCATCTCTACTTACTTTTATCAACATTACCTATAACAACATGGAACATGTGTAGTTTGACTGGTCATTTTGGATAGTAAACAAAATGGCTATATTTGCATTGCAGACACTGTGACCCCTGGTTCCTATCACCTCCACTGTAAAGAAATCTGAGTCAGTAGGTTTCTCTACAGTGCACCATTTAACATCAGACCTCCCTCAGTATCTGCATCTCAACTATTGAATTGCAGAGAAATGTAGAACAATTGATGTAATTCCCCTTTAATCTAAGTCTGGGAAACTGGCCCCCACACTTATCTCACTGATCTCATTGTCATTATGTATTAGATAAAAGGGTGTGCACACATCACTGGCACACCCATTGGTGCTACACAGTCATAGTGATAGTTTACTCACTTTGTGTCTTTTGCCCCCCACTCTTCTCTTTCTCAGGATCATTGAAGCAGTATGCATTGGCTGGTTCACTGCCGAGTGCATAGTGCGTTTCATTGTCTCACGGGACAAGTGTGAGTTTGTGCGCCGACCCCTGAACATCATTGACCTTCTGGCCATCACACCTTACTACGTGTCAGCTGCCATGACGGCCCTGACAGGGGAGAACCCGCAGCTGCAGCGGGCAGGAGTCACCCTGCGTGTGCTGCGGATGATGCGCATCTTCTGGCTCATTAAGTTAGCGCGGCACTTCCTGGGTCTGCAGACGCTGGGGCTGACACTGCGCAGGTGCTACCGCGAGATGGTCATGCTCCTGGTGTTTGTGTGCGTCGCCATGGCAATCTTCAGTGCCCTGGCCCAGCTCCTGGAGCATGGACTGGACCTGGAGACCAGCAACGAGGACTACGCCAGCATCCCGGCGGCCTGTTGGTGGGTTATTATCTCCATGACGACTGTCGGCTATGGAGACATGTATCCCATCACCATGCCGGGGCGCGTGCTGGGTGGCGTGTGTGTCGTGAGTGGCATTGTGCTCCTGGCTCTCCCTATTACCTTTATCTACCACAGCTTTGTGCAGTGCTACCACGAGCTCAAATTCCGCTCAGCACGCTGCGTGCGAAGTCTCTCCGCTGAGTTTCTCAACTGACTGTCAGTTATTGATTTCTCCAGGACCACTCAGGTCCTCAGCCCAACTCCATTACCCATCACCTGGCCTCTCTTCTTCTGTGCCTTTGTTTTAAAACCTTGAACAGCCTCCTGAATTATAAGCTAAGCTACATAGAGTAAGGAATGCTACTATTTCTGCTATGGAAATGGCTCCTTTCAAATGCAGCATCTCCACATTTTTGACCCTTCTGAATATAAATGATAAAAATTACCTCTAAAAACTGGAATGCATATGCTTTCTCCATCATGGAAGCAACAGGAGAAAAACGAGAAAAAATTTCCAAGCACACAAAACGATCACAGTCCAAAGGAACTATACAATGCTTGCCAATGTTTGTATTGTAACCCTGCACAGATGAAAACCAATGAACCTGATCCAAAGAGACAGCATTTCCCGTGTTTGGTGGCGTTCAAAAAGGACAACTGTGGCAACAGCCGGCACCAGATGGCATGGCTGTCTATAAGGGGTGCCTGGCAAGGTTTTCAGGTCTTGACTGTTCTCCAGACCATAGCCGGCCTTTCCTCAAGCGCCCTGGTCTGGCTTCACATGCAGAAACACTCTGTTCCCATGGAGAGATTTCTCCGGCTCGTTAGATCATTAATTCAGTTCAATTTGGCTTTGAAAGCTCTCCAAATATGAAGGGCAAAAAGCAAAGGAGGAGAGAGAAGGGCCTAAAGGAAATGGTAGAAATACAGAAATAAAATATTTGAAGAGGCAGATGGGAGCGTAGTGGAAAGAATTTGAAAATACAGCTGAGCGTAGACCTGGTGGAAACAGTTGGGCATTAAATGTTTATCCTTTCATGTAAGCAAAATGCAGCTGTGTAATTGAAAATAAATCTCGGTCGGTGCAGTCATATTCTGAAGGTTCACTTCCCTAAGTCCTAGAAACAAAACATCAGCTGTTCTGCTACACAGGGATGGAGCCACCACCTGGAGCCTATATCTCTGGGAATATGAGTGCGCAAACCAAGAGGTGTTAACTAAATTGATTAGCAAACACCTCACCCACACACTCAGCAGTAGGAGGGCTGTCACTCTCCTCCTCCTTCACTGTAAGCAGAGCGAGCACAAAAGCGAGTCGCTCTCCTTCACTGGATGGGCTCCTTGTGTGTTCAGTGGTTTAGTAATTCTGAATGAGGTATAATAACATTCAGCAACCCAGCCAAGCAAAGCTTATGATTATGAGTCACAACACATTTTTAGGGCAGTACGAGTAGAAAGCAATTAAAAACGTTTAATCAAAAGATTGCATCTGTAGATTTGTTTACTTGATGATATTATCAAACACATTGTGAGAAGGAAATCTAAGAATGAGTGCCTCAAGAAGTGTATTCTCTTCTTAATGCCACATGTAGTGGTTCGTGTTTAGCATTAACTCTCATACTTATGCAGGAAACCCTTATCAGTGTTGTACAGTAGCTTGGTGAGTGATGACATAATACAATGTAACTAATATGAATTGTAAAACTGAAACTGGAGAAAAGGTTTGTCCTGCATCAGTATGGTGCAGTAAATGTTAAGCATTCCCACCACATTCCATCTTTTCATATTACAGGCTGCTTTATAACTGTGAAGCTATGAGTATTGCAAAAGTGTAATTAAATGCTTTCTGTGGCTGCTTATGTAGATAATCACAGGTAAAAATGAAATTATAACTTTGCTGCATAAAAAAATATGTGTATACATGTCTTTTACCAATCAAAACATTTGTACAAATATTTTATATTTAGGAAACATTTTTGGCAGGCTTTACTGTAAAATATTTAAACATAAAAGAAAATAAAGTGATGCTTAATGATTTGTATGATATATGTCAGTTCTTCCACTTTCTGCTTTGACCTTAGACACTTAAACAACTCCCACTGGGGATGAGCATTTTATCCACATGATTAATGTGACAGGCCTTCTAGGACAAAAATAGAAACGTATGAACATTCCAGTGTAGTGTATGTGTTACAGTTCATATTATTAGTGAATATGTGCATACCTGCAAACCATTTTAAGCATAAAATCAACATACTCAACAATACAATTAATAATACAGTGGATATGATTAGTTAGACGTTAGTGTTCATTTAAGACAGCGTTTGCTGTGCAATTTATTACAGAAATTCATGAATTGCAAAACATATGGAAATATTTTAAGTAACAAATGTAAACAATATTTATTTAAATAGATGTAATATATAATATACAATATATTTAGATGTCACTTGCCAAACATTAATATCATCCACATCTAAACCTATAACATGCATGTAGGTCTTTATATGAAAAGATATTATTTGATGCATTACAGTTTTTTTAAATTAAACTTTTTGTTGCGGGCTTTTTGGAACAAGTTTTGTTTGAAAAATGTAAACTGTCAAGCTGTGAGCAAATTGATCTGGTCAATCCCTTATTACACACCCATGGTATAATACAAGCAATGTGACTCAGAAAACTGCAGTGGACCTTCTTAGCACTTCCAGACCTCCTTAGTACATCAGCATAGGAAATAAAGGCTGTATATTTGTATAATTCTGCTTTTAGGATCCTTTTGGTCTAAACTACAGGCTTGAAAGTAAAGGGTGTGAGCAACAACAAAGCAGTATACACTACATGGACAAAAGTATTGGGACATCTACACATTACACCTACAGGCGGTTTTATGACATCCCATTCTAAATCCATAGGCATGAATATGGAGTTGTTCCCCCCTTTGCAGCAATAACAGCTTCCACTCTTCTGGGAAGGTTTTCTAAAATATTTTGGAGTGTGTCCATGGGAATTTTTGCCCATTCATCCAGAGCATTTGTGAGGTCAGACAGTAATGATGGACGAGAGGGCCTGACTCACAATCTCTGTTCTAGTTCATCCAAAAGGTGTTGTAAAGGTTCCTAAATGCTTCCACTTTTCAATACCACTCACAGTTGATTGTGGAATATCCAGGACGGAGGACATTTCGCAAACCGACTTGTTGCAATGGTGGCATCCTACTACAGTGCCACGCTCGAATTTAGTGAGCTCTTTAGAACAACCCATTCTTTCACAAATGTTTGTAAAAGCAGACTGCACGGCTAGGTGCTTGATTTTATACACCTGTGGCAATGGGACTGAATGAAACCCCTGAATTCAATGATTAAGAGGTACGTCCCAATACTTTTGTCCAAATAGCGTATGTTCTGAACCAACAGAATGAAATGACCATCAAAATTCACAGTGGTTTGTGTTCAGCTTTGCCTCTCAAACGATTAGACCGATAAAGCTGTGTGTCATTCTGTTTTTGGCATCGTGTCCATGTTAGAAACTTAAGTTCTGCACAGATTGTGGGAGAAGTGATAGGATTTTTGAAAAATTTTGCTATTATGACCTGTGGTAAACAAAACGGTTTCAAATCAGATATGTTTTGTCCTACATACATTTTCTCCCAGAACGTCAGTGGATTATCTGAACTACGAGATTCCCAAGCAGTCGTAAATAGTTCTACTGACATGTTACAAGCCAGCTACCACCCCTGTGCATTAAAATGGCATTGCTGCTATTAAACACGATTACATAACAACATCAAATAACTTACTCTCGGTTCGCTGCTGCTGCCAAAGCAACTTACATTTGACAGATCCTGCTGGTTTGTGTCGGGTATTTTGATGAGGCTCCCATTCTTCTGTGTAGTATTAGCATTCATAAAGCAGTATTTGTATGTCGGATCCTTAACAACCTCATATTTCTGAGGATCTGATAAACGTATCGAGTTTGAGACATTTTTGTTTGCCACAGGACCGATTTGCGAAAACGCCATTCTGATTACCAATTGGTAAAACCAGCTTTGAGCCTGAGCTCCTAATATGGGCATTGTGCTGACTACAGAGTGAGACAACTTCTGAAGTCTATGTAGGAAATATTATAAATATTGTAAAGCAGTGCTTGGTAAGTGGTGACAAGGTGCAATATAACAAATATAAAATAAAAAAAGAAAACATAGGATTGTCCTGCATAGGTATGGTGTTATTTTCGAACACCCCCCTGATTTATTTATTTGTTTGTTTGTTTGTTTAATATTACATGCTGCTTTGTATGACGCTGTGAGTATCGCAAAAGTGCCATGAAATGCTTTCTGCGGCTGTTCATGGTAGAACATTACAGAAAAATCTGAAGTCATAAGTTTGTTGCGTGAAAAATGTGCATACGTGTCCTTTACCGATTTTCTCTCTCTTTTTGGTAGCCACTTTTCACTTCTGAGTGAGTCATTATTTCAGTAAAATAATTATGTTTTGTGTGAGGACAGTTTCAGTCTCCTTTACAGCTGTACAGTAGATCGTTGCGTCAACATCCTGAGATGGACGTGCGTGACGTCATGTTCTCGCGTTGACTCCTCCAGCTGAAGGAGAAGCCGGTGAGCAGCGTGTCCAGCTCAGAAAATGTATTACAAATTCAGCGGGTTCACCCAGAGACTAACGGGCACAGTGCCGTCTACAGCCTACAGCCCACAGGTATGTTGTTAACAGAAATCTGTCTAGATGAAAGGAAATAGTGTAATAGGCTGAGATGACCTTCATCTCTGCTAGTCGTAATGGGAGTAAGTTAGCTAGCCTGGCTAGCCAGCGAGCTCGGTGTCGTGAGCTGGATCTTCAGCTCTTTAACGTTAAGTTACTCCAGTGAAGTGTCCTTTCTTTACTCATCACTGTTTATGAGATGTGGCTATGGAAGAAAGCTCGTTTAGGATGGATAGGTTTGATCCACCAGTTTTACAAAGTGAAATAAGCATTGCCACCATCATATAATTTAAGTTACATCTAGTTAGGTTTATGTCTGTGGCATTCATTGTTGGTGTTAAGATTATTATTTATAGATTAACATTTATCAGCAAAGATAGATTATACTGTCAGAAGGGAGCCCAAACGAACATAATGGACAGGAAGCATGCTGATGAAATGACAGATTAAAGACATCCTTCCAGTCTCAAGCTGAGATGTCAGCCTTTATCCAGCGCTAATGCCTTTCTAGTCTAAAAGAACTGCCCTTTAAATTTAGGGCAGAAAGCCTCCACTGTCAGTTATCACAATCAAATGTCAGTTGCCTCACTTTAGAAGCAGCTGACATTTAAAGAAGTCTGAAGTGTAGGACTTCTATACTAAACTATTCAGTTGTGTTTGGCTAGTTTGAATATAACCTATTACGTTATAGGAAAGTCTGCCCACTTTCTTGGTGGTGGTCTTAGCAGTGCCCCCAGGTTGTTGTTTACAGTCATACAAGACCAGGCACCTATTTACCTGAATGGGTAGAGACAGGCCCAATCTCATTTCTTATTTGTACCCCTACCCCTTGTTTTTGAGTGTCACCTTGCCCCTCGGAACTTAGTTACAAGGTGTAGTGGTTGAAATTTTCCCCAAACAAAAAAGAGCATTGCTTCGTTAACAGGCTACTGGCAGTGCTCTGGAGGTGACCCTGCCAGTCTGCAGAGAAAGCAGAGGAGGATGAAGTTTGACCTTGCTGCTGGCCTTTAATTACAATTTGGGAATCATATGCCTTCAAATTCTTCAGTGATATGAAGCTGAAGGCTATTCGCCAGCTTCTTGTTCGAATTTTCACGTTGTACTTTGCCTCACACTCAACAGTCCATCCTCTGAAACCATTGTCACAGACTAGTGTTTCCTCTAGCACCTCACTTACCTGCCTTATTACCCCACTTATCTGACTGTTACCTCACTGATCCCTTTCTTTGCCACTATACACCCTTTAACTGCTGCTGCACTCAGCACTTTAACTTAAGACATATACTTTGCACATTGTAATGTTTACAGGTGTGACTGTGTGTGTGTGTGTGTGTGTGTGTGTGTGATGGTAGGAATGCTTATTTTGTTTTATGTTATTTTATTTTCATTTTATTTTATCTACTTCATGTAAATGTTTGTCGGATACTGTGCACTGTGAGCTCCTGTAACCAAAACCAAATTCCTTGTGTGTTTAAGCGTACCTGGCCAATAAAGCTTGATTCTGATTCTGATTCTGAAATGGTGCAGCAGTTCTGACACCATTTAAGGTGGAACGGGAAATTTATCTAGCTAGCTTCCGGAGACATCAGCATACTACGAATGTTTTTTTTTTGCTAGTTATAAAGAAAAGGGCCATAATACATTGAAACAATATTAAACTAAGATAACACAATGGTTATTGAAATTCTTTAATGGAAAAAATACTCACATTTGTGGGTTTTTTTCAATCACTTGCACAGCCATCTTGCTGTTTTTTTCACACTCTGTTTGGAGTGTGCCTCTGAAAAACCTCTGTTTCGAGGGCCATATTGCCCTAACACTTCACCCTACCCCTCTATCTCAGCAAAAATCGGGACACCTTATTTGCATATTTGGGATCACTGGTAAAATCTGACAAAAATCCTATAAATAGTTGGTGGTGTTTGGGACAAAATGTAGTTTTCAGGTTGTTCTGGGTGCTTTGCATGAGCATGTCTCCAACAAGGAGCTTTTTCTCTTCTGTACACCTTTACTAACGAGGCATTTGCCCCTTTTTATAGAAGGGCGTGACTTTCCATAATAATACACCCACCACGTTGAGCGTTATGAGCTGTCCGTTGCATGTTTTAACCAGCACACCATCTCCTCCTCTCTTCATAATGTCTCTGATGTAACCTTCACTTTCTTACAGGGCTTGAGGCCTAATGTACCCTCTGAGGCCCCTACTATGATTTTTGCCACCCCAACCAAAATGGTTTCTGAGTCGGGAGCTTCTGTAGAGTACATGGGTGCCAACAGGGTGCCTGACCTTCAGAAGATATTTCAGGTATGTCCATTAAAACAGTATTTAAAGTTACTGGACAGATGCATTTTGTTCAGTATGGGGTTGTTCTTAAGTGTTCTCTGTTTACAGTCCTCAGATGGGGTTCCAGTGCACCTTAAACGGGGTGTTCCTGATCGGCTTCTGTACAGGACCACCATGGCCCTGACAATTGGAGGTGCTCTCTACTGCTTAGTGGCCCTCTACATAGCTGCACAGCCCAAGAATAAATGAACACCACCCGCCCAGCCTCCCACATCAGTATTCATGAACTTTACAGATTGTAATGTATTACTGTAATATATTTATCATCTCAGTGACGTTGGCAGTGGGAAGGACTCAACCTATTTTTTTCACTCTTGGCGAACAGCTTTAATATAAAGGGACATTTTTTGTTTTTATTTTTTTAATGCATCATCACTAATCAGGTTTTGCAAGATGTATGTTACTGTACTGTGAAGTATACATAAAATTGGTTTAATTTATTAAGATTAATTTAGTACAACAGCCTTTACCTCTGTTGATCTCTCTGTCTGAAATTCCAGCATCCATTATTTAAATTCTCTTTACACACAGTAGTGCTGTCCAGCCCAGGCTAGATTTAAGCCTGATGTTATGTGGTGATGTCAGTAATGGATTCTGGTCCATTTGAGACTGCCGAGGGTTCTGGCAGGTAGGATAGAGGGCAGAAGGGTTGGGTCGCGTCTTGCAGCAGTGTTGGTCAGTGCTGCATTGTAATGCACTTATAAGCTTAGGTATTTTCACTGTGAATCACAGTACTTCATAAAGTGACTATGTTAAATGAAAGGTAAATTTTATGTATAATAAGTGCAAAAGTCACCGCTGACTGCTTTTTAGGAACGTTCACTAATTGTAGAGAAGAGATCTGATCTGAGCATATCCTGGGGTAACACCATCTGGCATCATGTGCTTCTGTGGCTCGATCATGTTAAATTTTGATGTGATTTCACACTATATTTAGTGTGCTTTAGGTCCTCCGATGCTGTTACCCTTCTCACATTTGCTGAAGCAGTGATGCTTTTACAGCTGGCACTTGTTTTAGAGGCAGTCTGGTCTCTCACATGGAGCTTGTTTGGGATCTGTAGAGATGTATGTTTAATTTACAAAAGCAATAATAAATATGAAAAAAAATGAAAAAGTGGCCAGTTTTTGTCCTCAGCAGTTTCAATGCTTTAGGTTTCCATACACTTGCTTGAGTTAGGTAATTAACTGTTTAAATCCTAAAGACTTGTATGTCAATCCATGTTTTAGTTCCTCACTCTTATGACTACATAAACTTTCAAATTAGTTTCACAGTTTGATAGTAGTTCATAGTAGTAATTGAATAGTATGCCTAGAGGTAAAGTGGTTAAAGTCCAATTTCTGCAAAATTCCGTAGTTGAGATGTAAGCAAAATCATATAGGGCGTTTTGATGTGAAATGGTGCATTGTGGAGAAACATAATCAGATTTGCTTTACAATGGTGTTGATAGGGGTCATTATTTCTACAATAGAAATATAGCTATTTTATTTGCTATTTTAAATGAGCAGCGACCAGTCGTCTGAGTTTTTGTATGTTGCTAATGGTAAAACAGTGGTAAATCCAAAACAACAAGTTTTTTTATGAGGACAAGACTCTGACTGTTGAAAATCCATATTGCAAATCTATTTTAAAACAGTGTCTCCAGCATATGGCAGTGAATGTGTGGTGGTTTTTAAAATCATTTTTACCTTACAAGACTCTGACTGTTGAAAATCCATATTGCAAATCAATTTTAAAACAGTGTCTCCAGCATATGGCAGTGAATGTGTGGTGGTTTTTAAAATCATTAAACAATTTGGAAAAGTGGTTCTTATCACCATTATTAAGAACAGTTCTGACTCCAAGATTCTCTAGAATGGCACATTTCACATCAAACCACTCTGGGTTTGTTTACGTCTTAACCATCTAATTATGCAAAAATTTTGAAAATTCTGTAGAATTGCCCTTTAGGTCTTAGATACCCAGAATGACAATTAATGTAATTACTAGTGTGTTTTAAATGAAAAGAAGTACCTCTAGATTGAAAGTATTTTTGTTTACTTTGCTTATTTACACAGTTTCCCAAGTCACTGAAGATGTATGCTTTTGACTGAGCCTCTGACTCTGCCACTCTGGTTGTTCACATGGCAACAAGAATTTGAAACATGCTTGCAAAAGACCTGGTGACGAACAAAAGCCTTTTGAATCTGCTTCCCTTTTTCCAATCAAAATGAGCGGAAAGTGTGTTTGGTTTACTACTGATGACAATGTGGATGAGTGTTCCTCTGTATCTTATTTTCACGAATTTCTTTGCAGTCAGTGGTAATAATACGATATGAAGCTGACAGATTGTGTGACTGTTGTTTGGCATTTGATAGGCTGTCACAGTACAAAGCAAGGCGAGACAATCTATGACAATGAGAGGCGATGATTCATTTGCTATGGGTTGACATCTATGGTAATGAAAGAACATTTCTCCCAACCCCTAGACAGAGTCATCACCAACTGAAATGATCCATCACACCAAGCCTAAAAGCTCCACTCTAACCAATGAACTGCTCACAGATACACACCATGAGAGCATGAAAAAGAAACACCACTAGCCTGACTTAATAGCACTGGGACTAGAAAAGTCACATGGACGGTTAAATGTAAATCAATAAACACTTTGTAGGTTGTAGTGTTTCAGTAATGGTCTGTAGAATAAGACTTTATTCCATGACAATCGATGTTAATCTTGCTCAGTTTGAGGCTGAAACGTAAGACAGATCTGGTAGCTATGGAAACATGAGGACTCTTTCCAGGTGTGCTCTGCCTTCCCAGAAACCTGTTAATTCTAATTTAACGAATTACTTTGCTATTGACGTAGATTTCACATCTAAATCAATTTGCAGCCTGGCACCATTGTTAACACACCATACGTGTAATATGTGTGCTTATGTGTGCTGTGGTGCCAATTATTCAGTGCGCACAGGAAACACACCAACCGGCCACCTCATTAAGTACACCTCTTTTTATCAGCTCCTCTTACCGTATAGGTGCATTTTATAGCTCTACACTTACAGAAAATTACAGTCCATCCATTTCTCTGTGTACTTCATTAGCTCCCTTTTACCAAGTTCTTCAATGGTCAGGACCCCCATGGGACCACCACAGAGCAGCTTCCTGTGGGAAGCGTTCTGTGACCACTGATGAAGGACTAAACTGTGCAGCAACAGAACAGAAGTGAACACAAACTGTGCAGCAACAGATGAGCTATTGTCTCTGACTTTACAACTGCAAGGTGTACAAACAAGGTAGGTGGTCACAGTGCTTTAAAACTAGCAGCACAGCTGTCTGATCTACTATTTCACTGTCACTGCTGTGCTGAGAATGATCCACCACCCAAATACTATCTGCTCTGTGGAGGTCTTGTGGGGGTCCTGACCATTGAAGAACAAGGTAAAAGGGGCTAACAAAGTATGCAGAGAAACAGATGGACTACAATTTGTAATTGTAGCACTACAAAGTGCATCTATATGGTAAGTGGAGCTAATAGAATGGACAGTGAGTATAGATTCATATACTTAATGAAGTGACTAAAACTAGCATTTAATATGTTAATTGTCATGTTATGCACGAATGTAATACTCTATAGTCTAGCATTGCACCCATCAGCCTCATCGTTTGACAGAAATTATGATTTTGTATCCTTCATTTTTCATTCATCAGGGTTCTTTCATTACAATACTCAGCATGCATTACACAATTATGTCATACAATAATTGGGAATCCCCCCAACATTCAGCCTTCTAGCAGTATCATTAACTATCTGGCTTCCTTCTGCGTTACAAAAAATAAATCAAACAGTCCACCCTCATGTACCCACCCTAAAGTACATGTAGTTTTTCAAAAGTTCCTCCCACCTTCATAATACATAATTAAAGGTGTTTTTTCCTAGTCCTTACACTGAAAAAATCTCTTCTTAAGGACGATCGTAGCACCACTGTAGTAAGTAATGCTTACAATAGACTTAGCGATGGCTACATTTTTCATTTTGGCTGGAGTGTCCCTTTAAAGTTATCCAGTTATGCACTCGCTGACTTTCTCACTAACAGTCTTGGTGCCTCCGACTGCTGTGACACAAATAGGAATGGGTTTAAAGTCGAATTCAAATTCATCAGCAAAATAAAAATGAAGTTGTGGGTAAGGATCAGCAGGGAAAGAGCAGACATTGCGGGGGAGAGGTGAGGTGGGAGTGTGTGTGATTGGTGTGAGACCCCCAGCCTGTGGACCTGAGGGAGAGAAGGGGAGCCATCACTCTACTCCATCTGCAGCCCTGCTGCTCTCTTGGCTCAGACAAGCTTGCTCTCACTTTCCCTTGGGGACTGTGTGTGTGTGTGGTTTTTCAAATCAATTTTTTATTTATTTTCCCCCATTTTTCTCCCAGTTTAATTATGGGCAGTTCCAAGAGTAGTACATCTCTTCCCTACTGAACACTCATAATGGTCTGGGAGGGTGAAGGCCACCACAGACTTCCACTGATTTATGTTAAGGCTTTCACTGCCGTAAACACAAATCCACACTATATAGTTGTAATCTACATTGCCAACCAATGCTTTTTTGGGGGTAGGGAAGTAAACTCTCAGTGTGAGTGGTAAGGAGCAGTGGGCTATATTCATTGGGGATACAATGATATAAACAATTACTTTTTTGCATTTCATGCAAACACATGCTATAAACCATATATGAAAGGCATATATGAAATTCATGCTATATCAAACAAGTTCATACCATAATCCATATATTGTAGCTACCCACTATTGGCTGGCACTGCCTCCTGGAGGCTCAGCAGGCATGGCCACGTGAGCAGCCAAGCGCAGATGCTCATGGTAGGCACGCACCCTCCTGAAAAAGGGACTTTAATGTTGTTATTTGTTGGTGTAAAGATGTGGGTGTGTGTTATTGGTGGTCTGGAAGTGTGGGTATTTTGTGTTGGGGTTGGTCACCATGAGGGTGAAGTCTTTGGCGTTGTGAGTTCACTGCTTTGTTTGTGCCTTTCTGCCTTGGTCTTTAATAAAGAGCTCTTCTGATGTTGGAAATCATTGGCCACCTTGTGTCTTTACTCCACATCAATACCACAATATGAAAGGCAGCAAGTTTAAGATTACTTACTGTAATAGGTGAAAGTCTTAGGAGTCTTGCTCCAGGGCACTGGTGTCTTGTCCTAACAGCAAGCACAGTAAGGGAATAACAAAACTAGAACCGCTATAATCAACATAGGGCAGAGAGCAATGTGGCGCCTTTCTATTTTTGTTCCACCTGAAGACTGGCTTGGAATACAGAAAGAAAACTAGTAAAAATAATAGAAATGCTCCATTATTTAGTCAAGTTAGTTGTGTCATTAATGTATGTCCACAAAGGTAATTTGAAAATCATTAACTGATGTTGAAAAATATGTAGATAAATATGCTATATCTAAAAAATGCTCACCCATCTTTTGCAAATGAAATCTAGTTATTAACTGTTTTGACCTAACATTTCCAGTGTAGATATCCCAAAGGCTATGAGATATGATGGTATATTTGAACACTTGCTTGCTGACAGTGTGTTATTGGTACAGCAGTTTTGTTCCTGCCTGGACTGTAAATTGAACTTGCATATGGGACAGTAGTGTTATCCACTATGCTCTCCATTTCAGCAAGTGATTTGTTCGTGAATGAGTCTTTGATCTGTACTAAAACTCTAGAGAAGGTGTAAGATTTCCTGGCTCTTTTGCTCAAGAAAAAGATTTGAAATATCTATTTTCTTTTTTTCTTTCCATCTGACATCAACCAAAGAGATATTAAAGAGATTTTTTTTTTATGTTTTTTTGCAAAAGCTTCATTGCATACCCAAGCACTGTAATTATCAGCTGTAATTACAATATCTGACCATATTAATACTTTTCATACATTTTATAATTCATTGTGAATAATACTGACTGTAAATATATCATGCAAGAATAAATGTAGACCTTTATTGCAATTGTGTGCTTAAAAAAACTCAATTTCTTTTTATTAGGATGTGAAATAAATGAACCATCTCATCAAAATAAGCAACCAATGAATAACAGCCCTTGATGTGATGAAGCACCCCATATAGGGTGCAATCACAGGCAATGAGCTTTGATTGTTTGATTGTTTAACATTTCATCAGTCATACTGATTTCTATGCTTCTCTCATAACAATGTGCATCACCATAATCTCCTCATTTATCTGTCTCATGTACACATTCCCCTCCTTTCA